AACACAGAGGCCATCCCCAGCATTCACGACCAGACGCAGAGTTCGTGGACTCAAAACGCAAAATTCATACAGAGCCCAACTCTGCGTCCCAGGTCCAAAACGCGAAGTTCAGCTCTACGTCCTAACTCTGCGTTTCAGATTTACAACGCTGTGCGGACACAACGTTTTCAGCCAAAAACAGGCCTTTCAAGTCTAAAACACAGAGTTTGGACCTAGAACGCCCAGACTGGCATTTGACTCGTTCAAAGCACGAATTGAACGGCTTCAAAACCGTTTTCCCCACGATTTGGGGAGTAGTTTAAGGCGACGGTTACACCCCATTCAGCCCTGCTTAGGAGCGAATTAAGGGGGCGGTTACACCCCTTAATCCCCTATAAATAGGAGTAAACTCAACTGAGTTCGGGTCCTGGGGTTTTTGGCAGAAAGGAAGAGATCTTCGGCTGGTTTTTTTGGGGGGAATTGCTGGAGCTTTAGAGATCGGAAACAGGAGCTTTCTTCATCCTTGGCTTACAAACCGATTTCGGTTAAATCAACTCTTTCATAGAGTTTCAAACTCGTTTAGAGTTATCAACTCATCAAGAGTTCTTTAAAACTTGCCACGTAAGTTCTCCACAACGTCAAATCGTGAGGAGAAGACCACATTCCAGTGAAACAAGATGTTCGGATCGTTAATGAGAAGCAAACTCGACGTGAGCATTCGAGGAAGGCATCTCATCGCCACCGTGAAGAACCCAGAATTAAACAAATGGGAGAATTCAGATCAATTCTCTTCTCTTTTGTAATTAGAAAATCCAAATTGTAATTAAGATTGAGAGAGTTATAAACATTCTTTTTCTAAGCAGTTAGAGAGAATAAAATCAAACACATTCTTTCATTTTTATTTCACAAATTTTCCAACAAACACTTGGTACCAAGCATACTTATTTTTCTCATATATATATATACTAGTTGAGATGCACGTGTAATGCACATGGTTAAATATCATTATTACTTAAATTTATAAAAATAGAATAAAAATAAAAAAGAAAATAAAGTTTTTTTATGAGATTGATTATCAACTCAATAATCTCTCTCTCAAATGAAACATTGTTATTATTTCATTCAACGGAGACTATAGTTACATGATCTACTATTTATGAGTTTAGGACAACATCTATGTTTATTAGTATATTGAAGTCTTCAAAAAATGGGTGATCATTCAATTCGTAAAGAAATTTTACATATGAATTTACTTGTAATATGTTCATTAAACTTTTAGTTGTGGTTTGACTCATATTCACATTAACTTGTAGTTGTAGTTTTACTCGTATTTACATTATCTAATATTCTCATTCCATTTTATAGCTCATTCTCTGTACCATAGAAGTAAAATTAAAAGTATAAAGAATTATTTTCTTGTGAAATTAGAACAGGGAGATTATGATATATTACGCCATGTGCTCTAAATATAAAATTTTATTTTTTATTTGATGCAAGGTCTTTATCAAATCTTATACCAAACAATGTGTATGAAAAATACTATTATAACTACTTGCTTAGGCCAATTGTATTGTATATATGGCATATAACTTATCTATAATATCCGCATCTGCTAAGTGAATTTTGCTGTTGTGAAAGCAAAATGTTAGAGGTTCACATTCAAACTTTTGGTTTTGTAAAATACACAAGAATTTGGAGTGCACAACTTGTATATCGTAAAGAACATACAGGTTCATGAAATTTTTTTCCTAATAACGATATTATTACAACAATATCATTATTTAGTATTAAATTAATTTTATTATATAAGATTACATAACTCTTTTTAATAAATTATAAAGTATATATATGGAAGTCTCAATGCTTATAGTAGTAGTTGGGCTCTATAAGATAGGTTAACTTTATATTATAGTTTGCTAATGGTAGTATTGTTGGCAATGCCATTATCTTTTCTCTTTATCTTATTATTCACGTTTTTCTAAAGTAAGTTCTTTTTTGCTAATCACTCAATTAGCTATATTTAGTTTTTATAATATCAGAATTTAGAATATTCTCTTCTGTTTAAAAAATGGTGACATGATTTTCTTAAAAAATATATACACATAGTAGTAATAGTATATATACTTCAATTCAGGTTAAACATTAGCTTAAAGCTATTTAGAGCAAGGTCCTTTCTACGCTAGAATAGTGATATAGTGATTACACAATCCTAAAGTCAAAGAAGAAATCTCTACAAAGGAAAAGTACTTAAAATGTCAAATTAATAACTAATTTATAAAATATATATGGACAGTGCAGATAGCTATAGATAGTAAGTTATATATCTTCATGAATATTCCATAGTGAGTGACCAAATATAATCATCCTAATTTAAGCATAATTAATTATTATTTTAGTTACTAATTTGATACGCGTAACTATGAAATAAATCTCAAGCCAAAAATATGAACTGAGATTGTATTATCCTGTAGGTAAATAAATAAATGTTATTAAAATAAATCTCAAGCCAAAAATATGAACTGAGATTGTATTATCCTGTAGGTAAATAAATAAATGTTATTAGAGCTCCTCTTTATATTAAAATATGAACTGAGATTGTATTATCCTGTAGGTAAATAAATAAATGTTATTAGAGCTCCTCTTTATATTAAATTTAAATGTAATAATTAAAATTATTAAGTGCAAAATATTAGTTTATGTTAGAAAGTAAAGTAATCTATGGTCTATATACATATACAGTTAATCAATCAAACGTATTAAAATTACGATGACTACAGTCAAAATTATATGGTGAGTTCACATTTACTATAATTTATAAAATATAGTACATTAAAGACAAAATCTTTTTAACCACTATATAGATTGTCTAAATTTTTTTACATATATAAACTATACCGTCTAGGAATAGTGATGTTCGCACTTAACTATGGCCTAATAATCTTATGAATGACTTACACTTCAGTATCATTATTAATTGACGTATCTATGCATTATACTAAAAATACAATTAAATTTTAGAAAACTATGAGAGAAACAACCTCAAAAGTTTTAAAAAATTATTAAAAAAACACCCTAAATTTTTTTAATTTACAAATATATAAAACTATTAAACATTACATTGAAATTAAGGAATTATAAAAAATCACTGAAATTTTTAAACTTTGGAGGGGTAATTTATAATGTACTAAACTTTAATGGTGTTTTTTAATAAATTTCATAACTTAATAGATTTTCAATTAGTTATGTTCTTTTCAAAAAAGTTATATGTAACATTGATAATGAAAAGTTTTTCCTAAATCTATACTTCTAAAGGGACTATGATATTTTTTTACAAATTTTTAATTTTCTAAGGGTTATTAGTAATTTTGTATATTCATTTTAGTGTCTATAGGTTAAAAATTCTCCTAGTGTTTTTTTTTTTGTAAATTATGTTTTTTAGAGATTTTTTATACTTTTTTAAACTTATACGTCTTTTCTATATATTATAAATTGTTTATAGACTATTTATAATTCCTATATTTTTAATTTACTAATGAGTTTGAAATTCTCAGGGTGTTTTTTATAAAATTTGAATTTTGAGGGTTTGTTTGTAATTTTCAAAACTTTAAGGGTGTTTTATTAAATTATAAATTATATAAGGGATATTTATAATTCTTATATTTTCAATGTACTATTAAGTTAGAAATTATCAGGATTTTTATAAATTTTATAATTTTGAGAGTTTTATTTACAATTTGTATTCAGAGTGTTTATTGCAAATTCCATAAATTTTGGGGTTTTTTTGTGTTATTTGTCGGTTTTCAATGTGTTTATATGTTTAAAATATTCAATGTGTTTTTTATAAATTTTGAATTTTTAGGGGTGTTTCTGTAATTTTTAAAACTTGTAGTATATTTTTTCCAAAGTTAAAAAAACATTTAGTTGCTAGCTAGCATATATTTTTCAGATTTTTTACTAAATTAAAATAAGTAAAATTTATAATTTTTAAGATGTTTTAATAAAATTTTGAATTTGTAGGGATGTTTTTGCAATTTAAAAAACTTGGAGGATATTTTTTTATAAAGTTAAAAAACTTTTAGGTGCTGGCTAGCACATATTTTTTAGATTTCTCTGCGAACTAAAATAAGTAAAGGATTTGAATTATATCAAATGTAACTTATTTATCCAATAACATGTTAAATCTTATTATAAATATGATAAATCATTTAATTACCAATTCAAAGAAAATAGGATAATTAGAATATATTAAGATAACAACGTAATATTTTAAAAAATTAAAGTTAATATTGATCATGAAAAAATTATTTTTCGCTTCGTTGTGAACTCCGTATTGTAAAGAAAACAATAATATATATATATATATATATGATTTAGCCTATTTAAATGAAATTAATAAATAAGATATATAAGGTTTTTATATATAATATATTTATTAGGTAAATATATAAATATTGTATAATAATATATTATATAAATATATTAATATAATGTATATATAGGGCTTCCTTTATACAAATAGGAGGATCAGGAGATTCACTGTTCACGGCTAACAGAAATGGCATCAGTGGCATTTACCTGTAGCGTAATAATTAATAAAAAATTATATGAGGCATACGTGTACATGGTAGGCATTTAAAAGAGGACTGTAGTGCAGAGGGGGAGTACTGTAGCACGTTTCAAAAATTCAAATCAAGCCATATTAAAAAAAGCGGAGATTACTGTTAGCAAAATAAAAATACCGTGTGGCTATACCACGGACCGCAAACTAGTTATATATATATATATATATTAGTATAGTATATATATTATATATATATAGTATGTAATGTAATTATGTTTGGCCGACTGCTAATGCCATAGATCAGAATCACTGTAATAATAAGTTAATAACGGTGGACTCACACCGCGGTCAAAATTCAAGCAAGAGTCCTAGGAACTCTTTTCGTTTCGCGACCAAGCAATAAATGACCAAAACGCCACCTAGACTATTTAAATCAGATTCCCACCCACTTTTTATTTCCTCTCTCTCTACCCCCTCCATTTTGAACAAAAAGATTTTAAAAAAAAACTTTCCCCAAATTTTCTCGTCCGTTCCTTTCTCAGTCCAGATTTCGAAGACGATCCGTTAGGGTTCCGAGGGTGCGATCTCGATTTCGATCTCGATCTCGATCTCTCAATCTCCGCCATGAATCCCGAATAGTAAGCTCTTTTTTCGAGATCTCTTTACTTTGTTGGATTACGGTTGCCTAGGGTTAGGTTCTGATTGGATTTTTTCCCCCTCTCTCGATTATTTCCAATTTGTTGCAATTTGGTCCGTTTAGTGTTAGATTTGAGTTGTTCTTCCGTGATATCTGAGGTTCGCTATGTTTAATTTGATCCTACTGCATTAGATGGTAGTTGACCCACGCGATCTCAGATTCTTTGCTTGGAATCTTGAATAGAATTCCTTTATAAAATAATTTCCGAGCATTTAATTGAAATCATGTAAAAGGGCTGCTTTTCTTCTAGGTTATGCGTTATTATCCTCTTTGACTTTGTTCCGTTCTGGGTTTTTTTTTTCCCGTGCTGATTGTTTACTTGAACTATAGATAATGAACGGGCTATAACGGAGCCTGGGAGTTTTAATCATAAGGAAAGAATCTGGACTATATTTTGCTGTTTCCATTGAACTACAGAACTCATTCACAGGCTTTAACCAATTGTTACCTCTTATAGTCCTTCAACGGAATTTTGTACTATCTGACGAAGAGATGGAATGATGGACACAATTGGTTACTGACGTACCTGATTTAAAATGAGATAACTTATCTAGTCTCTGCTAGTGTATTGTTGGTGTTCATCCAATGGTATAGATTCCCACTGAAATTGATGTAGTAGAGTTTTGTTGTATTTATCAAACACTAAGTTCTGTTAATTTTCAGATCTTCTCTTCCCACCTTAAGAATCACGGTGGGTGGTCTAAGATTTTGTTAAGAACAAAAAAATATTTCAAATTTGATGGTAGGACTTCTGCAGTATCAGATTATAGCTTTACAATTTGTCTCCATAATCTCAATCACCTAATGCTTATTTCAGCTATATGCTCTAATAATACCTTGAGAAGTTATATAGGTTGGGAGTTAATGATGCTAATCTTTCGGTTGCTTGCTGAAGCATTGACTATCCAGAATGCATCATTCTGAAAATATAGTACTTATATTTATTTCAAACGTGTCTGTTGTTTCAAGTGAAATGGCTTTTGCTGATAACTGACTTAAGTTGTGTTTGAGGCCTTTTGTGGAAAATTGGATAAGGGAAAGGTGCATAAGTACAGGATTATGTTACAGGTGCATCGGTATGGAAGAAAGGATAAGTACATGGATTTCTCTGTGAATTTCGCTATTGATTTCTTTTGCTGGCGCCTATCTGTGATGGAACATTGGAAGGGAACATGATATAGGCCAAAGTGATGGCTAAATTAATATTTGCTTCTTTCCTCTTTTTTGTAATCCATCATCAATAATCAATTGGATGAACCTTCTGTTGGGGATAAACTCGCTTCTTTCCTCTTTTTTGTAATCCATCATCAATAATCAATTGGATGAACCTTCTGTTGGGGATAAACTCGTTCTCTATCGAGATCAATCTCACTAATCAATTGGATGAACCTTCTGTTGGGGATAAACTCGTTCTCTATCGAGATCAATCTCACAAGGTTGAATGCTCCCCTGACCCGAGATCTGCTTCAGAAACAGTTGTGAAACCAACTCGGTGCTAAACACAATTAGTCGAAAAGACAAGATTGTGAGTCGACACAAGTGATTTGTGTGGTTTGGCAAACCCGGCTACATCTACATCTGAGTGTTGCCTGTTCTTCACTTCGATAGAATCAATACAGGAAATTACAATTGAATCACTACCCGATCCAAACCTGTATCCCCTTGTACGTCCACTTTCAAAGTACCTAAAGAACACTCTCACAAGCACTAAACCATGCTCAATTTTTTCTCTCTCCTTGTGTGTCCCTACCAAGGTTCACAAGCCTCTTTAAATAGGCCACAAATATCACCCATCAAGCTTAAGAAAACTTGTCCACTAAGCTTTAGGTAACTTGTCCACTAAGCGTTCAAGCCTAATATAGAGGGTGGCCCACAAATACCTTTATAGTTTGTGTTCAACATGTTATTTGTTTTTGTTGTTTATGGAGCAAGTGCACGTGATGCACATGATTTTTTCCCCTTTCTATGGGACTTTTGGTTGTATGGATTAAATCAAATGAGATGTGGTTTAATATGTGGTCTTATTATTTTGTGAGGAACAAATCATATGAATGTAGAAGATTAACCAATGTATATTTTTGCAGTGACTACCTGTTCAAGCTTTTGCTCATTGGCGATTCTGGGGTTGGCAAATCATGCCTTCTTTTGAGATTTGCGGTAAAGCCTATTCAACGATCTCTTCTTATATCATCTTTGCCATTTTCCTAATAGAAGTTCCATTTTCCCGTTTATTTGAAATGGCATTTTCATTAGTTTTAACACCAACCTCTTAGTGGAGTTCCTAGCAATAAATTTCCAAGATATCTAGACTGATATTACTCTTTGTAGTTTGGTGGCGGCTCTTTCTTGTACAACAGTATACTATTCACTTAATGGGTCCTATGGATAGTAAAGAGCAAGCACTGAGATGTGGTTTGATGATACATCAAAGAAACTGTTATCATATTCATCTTTCACTGTCATTAGTTTCTGTAAAATTTCTCATCTCCTTTGAGCAAAAGGTGTAAAATTTTATTTAACAGGAAAGAAGGTATGTAACATAGTTGAACCAAGAACAAGGATTCATTAGTTGTCCCAAATCTCAAGAGAAAAATGTTTTTTGTGGTGCATCAAGCATTGTTCAAAATTTTGAAAGGTCAATAATATTAAGTAATTCTTCACCCTCCTTGATTCCTTCCGGTGCATCATACATAGTTGAAGTAGTGTATTTCTGAAGAATGTAGCTTCTTAGATGCTTATATCTACACATATGGATCATATATCTTTGCATTAGTCTTAATTTAAGGTTGACACAAGTTTAAAGGTAATTGTTCAATGGGATGAAGTAAAAAATTCGGATATGATGTCTAACGGCTGCATTTTAAGTAAAAGCTTGGATGGGGCGTCATGTGACGTAACCCCCCCCCCCCATCCACCACCTGCCACCCCACCAACCCACCACCACCCCCAACGTAGCCAACTTTAGTTTTAAATTATATATGTTATAGTGTATACGTCAACAGATTGATCTAATTTCCACTCCATGTTTCTGATATTAATCCTCGATTTCTTTTGCTTAATGTTTATTTTTGATTAGGAAATCCAAATTCCCATCGACTTATCGACAGTGGGTGTATATATATATATATTATATATATATATATATATATATATATATATATATATATATAATATATATATATATATTATTAAATGGGTATCCTTTACAAGGAGGGGGATTCCCTCATTGACAATGATGTGGCACAATCCCCACTATGTGAAATTCTCTCTCCTATTTTATTCTTTCTCCTTCACATGGTGAAGATTGTGCCACATCATTGTCAAGGAGGAAAATTCCCTCCTTGTCAAGGATACCCATTAATCCCATACACACACACACTAGTTGAGATGCACGTGCAATGCACGTGGTTGAATATCATGATTATTTAAATTGATAAAATATAGTAAAAATAAAGTTTTTTGTAGGATTGATCATCAATTCAATAATTTTTCTCTCAAATAAAATATTATCATTATTTCCTTCAACTAAGATTGTGGTCATGTGATCTATTATTTATGAGTTATAAACATATTAATCTAGTATAATATCTCTATTTGTTAGTATCTTGAAGTCTTTAAAAGATGGGTGATCATTCAATTCGCAAAGAAATTTTGCATATGAATTTATTTGTAATATGTCCATTAAACTTTCAGTTGTGGTTTGACTCATATTCATGTTAACTTTTAGTCGTGATTTCACTCATATTTATATTATCTAATATTCTTATTCAATTTTATGTCTTATTTTCTGTATCATAGAAGTAAAACTGAAAGTATGAAGAATTATTTTTTTTACAAAATTAGAACAGTGAGATTATGATATTTTTCGCCATGTGCTCTAAATATAAAATTTCTTTTTCTTTGATATAAGGCCCCTATCAAATCTTACCTCAAACGATGTGAATGAAAAATATTATTATAACTCACTTACCTAAGACGATTGTATTGTATATAGGACATATAACTCATTTTGATATTCACATCTGCTAAGTGAATTTTGCTCTTGTGAGAGCAATATGTTAGAGACTCGTATTCGAACTTTTTGGCTCTATAAAAGACACAAGAATTTAGAGTGCATAGCTTATATATCGTAAAGAATATATTAGTTCATGAAGAATTTTTCCTAATAATGATAGTATTACAACGATATTACTATGCAGTATTAAATTAATTTTATTATATAAGATTATATGACCCTTTTTAATAAATTATAAAACATATACTTGGACACATTGATGCTTATAGCCAGTAGTTAGGTTCCACAAAATAGGTTAACTTTACATTGTAGTTTGTTATTTATAGTATTATTGGCAATACTATTACATTTCCTCTTTATCTTATTATTCATATTTTTCTGATGTAAGTTCTCTTTTGCTAACCACTCAATTGACTATATTTAGTTTTTATAATATCAAATGTTACAATATTTTTTTCTGTTTAAAAAGTATTGACATGATTTTCTTAAAAAATATATACACGTAGTAGCAATAGTATATACTTTAGTTCAAATCAAACATTAGCTTGAAGCCATTTAGAGTGAGGTCATTTTTATGCTAGAATGATGATATAATGATTACATAGTTCAAAAATCAAAGAAGAAACTTCTACAAATGAAAAGTAATTTAATATCTCAAATTAACAACTAATTTATAAAATATACATGGACAGTGCAGATAACTATGGAAAGTAAGGTATATATCTTCATGAAAATTTCATACTGTGCGACCAATTACAATCATCCATAATAAATTATTATTCTAGTTACTAATTTGATATGCGTAACTATGGAATAAATCTCAAGCAAAAAATAGGAATTGAGATTGTATTATCATATAGGTAAATAATAAATGTTATTAGAGCTCCTTTTTATATTAAATTTAAAAGTAATAATTTAAATTATTAAGTGTCAAATATTAGCTCATGTGAGAAAGTAAAGTAATCTATGGTCTATATACATATATAGTCAATCAATCTAGCATATTAAAATTATGATGATCACAGTCAAAATTATATGATAGGTTCACATTAAGTATAATTTATAAAAAAAAGTATATTAAAGTCAAAATCTTTTTAACCACTATATAGATAATCTGAAAATTTTTGTATATATAAACTATACTGTCTAGGAATAGTAATGTGCACAATTAACTATGGCCTAATAATCTTAAGAACAACTTAGTTTTCAAAAGTTTTAAAAATTGTAAAAAAACACCCTAAAATTTTATAATTTACAAATACACAAAACAATTAAACATTACATTAAAATCAAGGAATTACAAAAAATCATTAAAAATTTTCAAACTTTGGAGGGGTAATTTGCAATGTACTAAACTTTCAAGGTTTTTTTGTAAATGTTAAATTTAATAGATTTTCAATTAGTTATGTTATTTCCAAAAAAATATGGATAATATTGACCATGAAAAGTTTTTCTTGAACCTGTACTTTTAAAGGGTGTTTGATATTTTTTACAAAATTTTAATTTTTTAGGGGTTGTTACTAATTTTGCATAATCATTTTGATGTCTATAGGTTAGAAATTTTCATGGTGTTTTCTTGTAAATTATGAATTTTAGGGGCTTTTGTAATTTTTTAAACTTATAGGCCTTTTTTACAAATTATATTGTTTATAGACTATTTATAATTCCTATGATTTTTAATTTACTAATGAGTTTGAAATTCTCAGGGTGTTTTTTTTAAATTTATATTTTAAGGGTTTGTTTGTAATGTTTGAAACTTTAAGGGTGCTTTCTATAAATTATAAATTATATAGGGGATAGTTGTAATTCCTATAGTTTCAATGTACTGTTAGGTTGGAAATTATCAGGATTTTTATAAATTTTATAATTTTGGGAGTTTTCTTTTGCAATTTGTAAAAAGTTTAGAGTGTTTTATTGTAAATTCCATAAATTTTTGGGGTTTGTTTGTGTTATTTGTAGGTTTTCAGTGTGTTTATAGGTTTGTAATTTTCAAGGTGTTTTTTATAAATTTTGAATTTTTAGGGGTATTTTTATAATTTTTAAAACTTATAAGATATTTTCTCTAAAGTCAAAAACTTTTAATTTCTAGCTAGCATATGTTTTTCTGATTTCTCACTGAATTGAAATAAGTAAAATTTATAATTTTTAAGATGTTTTAATAAAATTTTGAATTTATAGGGGATTTTTTACAATTTAAAAAACTTGAAGAATATTTTTTACAAGTCCAAAAACTTTTAGGTGCTGGCTAGCATATATTTTTTAGATTTCTCTGCGAACTGAAAAAATAAATGATTTGAATTATATGAAATGTATCTTTTTTATCCAATAACATATTAAGTATCATTATGAATAGGATAAATTGTTTAGTTACTAATTTAAAAAAGATAGGATAATTAGAATAGATTAGGATAACAATATAATATTCAGAAAATTTAAGGGTAATATTGACCATAAAAATATTTTCCCAAATTCGTACTTTTAAAGGGAGTATGATATATATATATATATATATATATATATATATATATAGAGAGAGAGAGAGAGAGAGAGAGAGAGAGAGAAATGAGTATGCTTGGTACCAAGCACAAAAAATTATGTTTGGTAGTGAGGTGGTATAATCCCCTTCACTCATTCAAATGGTTGTATATCCCCATGCACTTTTCAACTCATGTAAATGTGATCCCCCATTTGAATGAGTGGAGGAGATTGTGTCACCTCACTACTAAGCACAAAATTTGTGCTTGGTACCTTGTGCTTGGTAGTAATGTGGCATATTCCTCTCCTCACATTGAAATCGGGGCACACATTCACATGGGCTGGGGAGTGGTTGAGAATTAGAATGAGTGGATGAGAATATGACATCTCACTATCAAGCATAAAGCTTCTCCATTGAAGTGCTTTATTTACAAACCCTAACCACATAGCAGTTTAAAGACACCGAACTTTTCTGCCTTCATATTGTGGTGCGTGATAACTGATAATATATATATATATATATATATATATATATATATATATATATAATATATATATATATATATATTCATCTTATACTTATATCTTGTAAAAGAAGCGCAAAATGTGGCAGGGCATATATCTTCCTCATTGAATGCTTCATTTCCAACCCTAACCACAATAGCAGCTTAAATAAAGATAGCAACTTTTCTGCCTTCATATTGTGGTGCATGATATCGAGAACTACTAGGTTCTCAAGTGTGAGTTCAGTATGAACATTAATATGACGTATACGAGGAAAAAATGATCTTAACAATATTTTTCAGATTTATTAGTGTCTGATTGCAACTTGAACATATTAGACAAGTAGTTTAAGAAAATGATGTGTACCATGGGCAATCTTCTTCTATCTTTATATCTATGTTTCGGCATCTTCCTATGCTTATAGGGGCTTCTTGATAGATGGAATTTGGAGGAGAATTTCGTGAAATCTCATCCAAATTCCTCTCTTTCCTATCTAATTGTGGGGGAGGCCTATAAACCAAAATTTGCAGATTCTTGGGCCCACAGGCACATAAAACTTTCCTGAAATGGGCATTCCACCCTAGAAAGTGTGGCTAAGGACTTATTTTTTGGACTTGTAGTAAAATATAAAAAATAATGCTCTCATCATGTATTTTCACAGAGACAGGCAGATGGATGGGATTTTTTTTGGGTCTACACCTTCCACTTCTCCAATAAAGTTTAAAACTAATTAGAAAATAAAACTACAACAATAGTCCTTTATCGTAAAATTTTGAGGTTGGCTAGTAAGTCGAGAAATATTTTTAAAAAATGATGTTACTTCATTATGTACTCTCACTTCCCTCCAAATTTCTCTCTGCCAACCAGAGAAATTACTACAACTTCTACTTGCTTTTGGGAGCTAATATGATGAAAAAGGTCTCAGCTTTCTTTTAAGAAAGCCTATTGCCCTATGTTACCCGGGTACTTCTATAATGAAGCCGTACCCGTACCGGACACGTACCCGACACTTTCCCGTACCCAAACTTCATGGACACTTCTTGAATATATGCATGCATTTATTACAACATGTACTCAATTATACGATATATGTGTTAATTTAAAACACTTGTCAAAGACTTCCTGGACGTAGAGCTTACACTTCACATCCGTCTTTTGAAACTAATGAGATATAGGTCAGATTCATTTCAGTCCATATCCAAGTTTAAAACTATATAGTTAATGGGTCGTTTAGATGTCTAGTAAAAAAATGAATAGATTACAATTCACGATAATCAATATGATAAAAGAAACTCAAATATGTGATCGGAATTTTAATTCTAATGACACATGAAGGCAAAAAAATTATCTTATGTACAGTATTAATTCAATAGATATATGTAGTCGTGTCCCCGTACCCTACATTTTACAGTTTTGCCGTGTCCCGTACCCGCACTCGCACCCGTACCAGTACCCGTGCCCGTTTCCATGCAACTTAGCTATTGCCAAACAGTCCCGTAAGGCTTGTTTGGCAACTCATCCACTAACTTGGATAAAGGTGGCTAACTTGCTATGGGGTTAAATTGTGTTTGACCGCCCTCTTAGTTCAAACTTAACCAGGTTACGGCCTTAACTGGATTAGTTTGAAACTGCCAAACACACCCTCAGATTCACGAACTATTTAGTATATCTCGGTTTAGTTTCAAGTTTTAATTTTTTACCATCTGTTTGGTTGCCATGCACTACAGTTCCATGCGTCTTTTGAATGTCTGACATGGAGTAGCAGTTTTGTGTTATTTTTGTAGCATTAACTTCATGTAATTTCCATTTATATATTTGGTTCAACATATTGAAGACGAGAGATCATGAGACACCTTCACATTTGCTTTTGTGATTTGAAATTCACTTTCTTTAAGAGAGGATTCTAATTCACCATCTTTTAGGAAAATTAGTGACTTGCAACTTTATAGAGGTGGACATCCACAATCCTAATTGGATTTGACCAAATCCATGAATTTCAATTTATTGAGATCAAATTTCTGATGTCATGAACCCCTGGTGAGTCTGAGTCATCCACAATGGTAACATTAGTAACAAACTAATAATATCTCTGCTATGAATTATCACTATATAGAGCTCCACAATCCTAATTGGATTTGACCAAATCCATGAATTTCAATTTATTGAGCTCAATTTTCTGATGTCATGAACCCCTGGTGAGTCTGAGTCATCCACAATGGTAACATTAGTAATAAACTAATAATATCTCTGCTATGAATTATCACTATATAGAGCTTATGTAATTTTTAGACATAGTACGCGAAACATTTTTCTCTGGATTTTTCTTTTGTCGGAGTTTGATTTATTTTTATTTATGAGAGGCACTGGAGTACTTGAATCTGGGTCGTATATCTTTATATACTACTTTCTTGTTTTATTTCTTACCCTGGTTGCTGGAATCTTCGTTTTACAACACTTGAATGAGGTTCATTTACAATCATGTTTTTTATTTTTATCATAAATGATTATATTTGACTCCTGTGCAGGATGATTCTTATTTAGAGAGCTACATCAGTACAATTGGTGTCGATTTTGTAAGTGAAATTACATTGGCAATTTGCTTTTTTGCAAGTAATGGAACAATAGGTCAGCTTACTTGCAATTTTGTTTTGCCTGTTTAGAAAATCCGCACTGTGGAGCAGGATGGTAAAACTATAAAGCTTCAAATAGTAAGTGTTACATCTATTGTCTTCTGACAACCTAGTTTTTGATCCCTCTATCTGACTCTCTTTAAAACCTTTGTTTGCTTAGTGGGATACTGCTGGTCAGGAGCGTTTCCGGACAATCACAAGTAGCTACTATCGTGGTGCCCATGGCATAATTGTAAGCCTGTCTCACCTTATTCTCAAATTGTCAGTTACTTCTTTTTGATTAACCAATCATAATGGGTAATATATTATATACTTTTTTGGATTGCAGGTTGTTTATGATGTGACTGATCAGGAAAGCTTCAACAATGTTAAGCAATGGCTCAGTGAGATTGACCGCTATGCAAGTGATAATGTAAACAAGCTTTTGGTGGGAAATAAATGTGATTTAACTGATAAGAGGGTGGTTTCTTATGAAGCTGGAAAGGTAATTTTCCACCGAATCCGTTATCATAGTGTATTAATTGAGGAGGATCACTTTGAGATGATACCTTCATGAATTGCCAATTGGATTTCATTCTCTAAAAAGGCAGTTGCCTTCTTTTAAAGGCACTTGCAGATGAGATCGGCATCCCTTTCCTGGAGACAAGTGCCAAAAGTGCCACCAATGTTGAGCAAGCATTTATGACCATGTCAGGAGAGATAAAGAACCGGTAATAGTTTCATTTCATTTACAATTCTTGGCTAAATACTTTTGACTTGGTACCACATTAGGTTTTTCGACTGTTATGTATGTTGATGCCTGTTTTAAACCCATGGCCATATTCAAGACCAAACTCTGTTATGAGATGTTATAACGATCTTATAGCTTATAATGCCTTTTTAATCCTTTTAATGCTAGGATGGCGAGTCAACCTGCTGCAAACACCACTAGACCGGCTACTGTGCAAATGCGAGGACAGCCAGTTGCCCAGAAGAGCAGCTGCTGCTCTTAAATTATATTTTTTTTTAGCCAATATTTCCTTGTGCTGGAGATGGATTCAGAGCACTGTGCCCTGAATAGGAAAGAAGAATACATGCTCTGGGTTTGATCATTTGATTAATTGTCTGTCGTGGTGTATATACTGATAACACTTGAGAAACTCTTCATGATTTGCTCGTGTGAGCAGGAAGTATGAACTCTCTGTTGGTTTTAAAAGCAAATCAAATCTCTGTAAACTGGGTAAGAATTGTATTCTCTTAGACAACATTCAAGAGTTTGTTTCTGAAATATTGCATTTGGAAATGCCAACGCTCTAAAGGTTATTATAATGACTGCTATATTGTGATCCCAAGGGCCTAGATGGAACATTAAACCGGATTCAGTCCGACAGACAGACGTGTGGTATTGCTGGGTGATGAGGAAAATTATGTGCAATATTTAGAGTTCAAAGTTCTCATCAGGGCTTGGTCGGAGGTATGAGAAGGGAATGTGGGGTTGGGTGATGTCCAAGGACATCTTTTGTGGGAAGGAAGACGTGGTGAGATGTTAAGAGTGCGATGGTATTCTTTTGTGAAGAAGAGAGAGATGGTATCTACATAATAAAAGATATAGGAGAATGTAAAAGTCTTTACTATGATAAATTCTCTCTTTATAGTCCCTCAAAATTGAAAATTGGAGGTATTTTCTCTTCTTTCACTTTCTAGTTCATTTTTAGATTTCTTTCTCTAATATATATAATCTTCCCTTCCCCTCTAAAAATAATCCCCTACCAACGCAAATTTTTAGTTTTGTTACTCACTCTACCTCATCCCTCTCCTACCAAACCAGTTCTAAATGTAAACGATGGTCGTACTTGGCTCATTCCTGTCCATCATTTTAGAGTGAAAATAAGCTTAAATAAAAATCAAAGAACTCTAACGCGTAGCCATTTTAACACAATTATATCATGCACAAATTTACCAACTTTTATGATCTTTTACTGCGATATGTACTTCGCGAGACAATGTAGCCCCAGGAAGAAATATAGTAAAATGCCAAATATTTAATTCATAAAAACATCCAGAAACAGTATATGATTTCCTAAACACTTAGTACAGAATAATAAAAAAAACCATCATTCAAATTCCAAAATATAGTGGATTCTCAATAAGAATATAAACCAGAATGATAAAACTGAGATAAACTATCTCGACAACAAAACAAACCGATGTCTTCAAGCTACCAAAAAAGGGGTCTCCAGGGTATCCCCTCATCATTAAACTTCCATCTCAATTCCTAACAGCTTGTCTGCTCCTCTTCTTTGCTCCAGACTTGGCAACCTTCAGACTCCTGTGAACAACGCTGAGCCTTGCAAGGGCTGCCTTAGTCAGATCTGGCCTATAGTAGTTATCGGTCACCTGCAACAGAAAGTAGAAGAAAACTGTTTACAGATAAAACTTATACATAGGTTGACAAGGCAAATTCAGCGAGCTATCTCAAAGCATAGATGCGCAACTTCACAAACTAGGAGAATGGGAAAGCCCCTTCCCATCAAGATAAATCTTGATAAAAATCCAAGAACGCCATTTTCAGAATTAAGTTTGCTGATTTATCAGCATTGATCCATCATAAAACAATTTAATTAACTCATACAATTGCAAGAGATCTAGGCCACCCTTGAAACAATAAGAGCAAAGTCTTTAGGACAAACAACTTGGCATAAGACTAGCAAGCTGAAATTATAAAGGAAAACACATTACTAGTTCTTTGTATGTAGTTGTGCTGGTTTGCAACTATTTAATTGTTGGATTGGGAAAAGCTCATAAGCCGAGCACAAAAAGGTCACTCCTCTTGAAAGGATTCCTTATATTTTTAGCAACTTAATCTGAAAGAGCTATCAGGATTTAGGCAGATTCAAAAAAGCCATCTGTTAGTTTCTTCACTGTAATTGGAACATCGACCAATTACTTAACGGGGTTTAAAAATGTTGAGCTGCTTGGAGTAACTGTAGGAATGTTTGTTTTTTCAGCCTACTCGATATTCAGGTGTAGATTTGCAAATTAATACTAGAGGTGCCCGTGAAAATTAGAATGATTTGAGGGGCTATTTTGGATTCCATTTGTTTGGAACAAAAATTAACATCACTAAAAGCTCTAGGTGGAATGCATGGGGAAAACCCAGTTATTTTGCTTTTCAAGCTAAGTTTGAAACCGGGGAGCATTTCCAATATATTCTCAATGGTAGTCGGAGAAACTGAGGGAATATGGGTTTTTGACCGATCTCAGATATTATGAGTTTATCCTATATGTGAAAACCCTCAAAACAAACGTTTAAAAGGTTTTTTTTTTTAAGAAAAGACAACAAAGCTCACAAGCCAAGCGTAACAATAATATTCCCTGGAAGACACAATCTGATCAACAGAGGTCTTCTTACATGTTAGCAGCTTATCACAGCATAGTTATCTGTTGCTTAACAAGAAAAATAGATAAAATATAAAAGAGAAATATACTTGAGTGCGCTAGTATCTGTTTTATAGGCTAACAAAGCAGGTGAGCACAACTTTTCCAACATTGGATGTAATATTTAACAAAGACTCAAGTCATAAACTCATTTCTAGCAAGTAACAAACAACCAGTAGAACAAATACATTATCCCAATCAATATATAACAACCCAAGAAGTAATTCCTCATGATTGGAAACAGACTGCAATACAATTTACAGTAAGAGAAAACATTTGGCATTTCCAAATAACAAAGGACTATACTTCTACTCACAGCCAGGTAAAAATACTAAAAAGACTTTTATGGGTCTCAAAACTTCATACCTGGTTAACAACTGCCTTCGCCATCTTCGGGAATTCCTTCTTCATTACCGACTTGTGGTAAACACTAGCAGGCTTCCTCTGCTTCCTTGTCTTGGTTGTCGCCAGGACAACCGAAAGGCCCTCACCTGCTGGTTGGATGCTAACGGTCTTCTTGTTTGCCAATCCTGAAATTATCCACCATTATACAAAACCCATAAATACTTCGAATCTGTAAAGTTAAAAAAAATAAAGATATACATAAGAAAACGATGCCTTAATCTTCTTTACCAGAGTGCTTGAAGGAGTGGACATTGTACAGATTGTTCTTCTCCTTGCTGAACTGAACCTTGGCAGTGCTGTTACCAAACTGCTTCACCAAAAATGAATTGTTTTTCTTCACAATCTCCCAAATTAGGTCACCAGAAACTGAAGCCATTTCTACATTGAGAAATCACAGAAGGGTTGAAAAGCTCCAGCAAT